AAGATCAACATGTCCAAAAAATTATTTTTACCATAGTTCCAAAAGTATTTGGTTTATAAAATTCAAACTTAACAGTTTAATTATAGATATGTCATTGGTTAACAGGTGTAAAGTATCACTAAAATACAATTAATTAAATATTTGAAAAAAATATTTGTTTGAGAAAAAAATATATTTAAAAATATGCTTGATTCTGTGCTTTTAGTGAAAACCAGCATTGTAGAAATAATATGTGTTTATCAATTAAGGGCAAGTTGGATGTGAATGGTCTATGAAAGGCTGTTATTAAAAGTATGAAATATATTAAGACAAGTTCGCTATAAAATCCGCAATTTGGAATTTACGTTCGGTTTCACATGTTAACATTTGGACAAAATAAAGAGGGAAAACAACTTTCCAGAGGCTATCGACGTCCAACTTGCCCTTCATTGATAAACAAATATTGTTTCTGTAATGATGTCTTTCTCTAAAAGTACTGAATTCACAATGTGTATTTTAAAAGAAATATATTCATTTTTTTCAAATGAATGGTTCTCAATAAATCTTTTTTTTTCAAAATATTTATTATCAAATGATGCTTTCTATCTGTTAATCGATGACATATGAATTTTTGGACATGTTGACCTTTGCTGAAACTTTATTAATTGATTGCATATTTCGACAAGGTCATCGTATCGACCATGGTTTTTGCGAAATGTTCAATTTAATCCATTGTATTAATATTCTTGTGTTATCAATTTGTTTGTCAATAAGTTGGCTCTTTTTCGAAATTGATTTTACTTGGAAAAATTTTCTCGCTAATTGAATCTATTAGAAATAATTTTAAATTTATTTGTCAATTCTTGATATCTGAATTCAATATGATAAATTTATTTGACTTATAATAAACCTTCAAAGATTTAACAGAAAGGTTCTGAACTTCATATGGTTAAAATAATGGAAAACCCCTTACCCGTTGCTTTTATGAAATACAACCAATTTGTATTGGAGGTTACATAATTAGGGTCCATGGTCAACAATTTATCCAGAAGGAGACAAGATTGCATTGGGAAGCTAAACAAGAAGGCAGCACAGGAGAAAATTCCATTGCAATACACAGCACACTCTATTTCGCTTACCGTTGTTTTGAGCTGTATTTTGTTAGTTACGTTCGTACCACCGAACGCATATGTGATATATTTCTGTTCAATCAGTAAAGCAGAAAAAGAAAGATGAAATACTTCAACGAAGATAAGCGTATAAAAAGCACATGCTTTTCCTAAAAATATCATGTTCACCAAACATCGATATCGCAGTTCAAATTAAAACATCCAAACTAAGTGGATTCTGAAACGGTTATATATTTTCTTCAAAATCAACATATACTTGAGAAAAATTCAATCTGATATAGTTACCATAACGATTCAATGTATATTTACATATGAGGTAATTAATGTGTGCAAGTTAAAATGGTAAAACCGATATTACCACTTCTGAAAGGAAAAACAAAAATCAACTCATTGTTTGAAATAGGTGAGGCGAAAAATTAACAGTACTTTTCACTTACATCTATCTTGATAAATTTACTTTAAATTGTATGGAGTAAAAGTTGTTTCTCAGACGCGTTATGGATTTCCTATTCAGAAATGATTAATTTATAAAAGAGTGATACATCTCTTCCACGAACCAAAAATTAAAATAAATATTATTTTGCCAATCAATTCTGTAAAATTCAATTGCCTTTATTTTCATAGAGGATTTTTGGGGGTTAATCACTAGTTTATCAGTAAAATGTGAATTGTTCAATTTTCTTGTTTAAAAAGAAGTCTTTCCATTATTAAAAAAATGTTTGTGATCATTCTATGCCGCTTTTTCATAAGATTTTCTTAACCTTGGACTCGTGATAGAATAATCTTCGTCAAAATGAAAAATATGGAGAAAACGAACAGTATTCAAGCTCAAATGTTCATTCAAATAATACAAATTAGCTAAGATAACACGAACCTCTTAACATGTATCAAAGATATGATTAAGTGCCATGAAGGAGTTGCATATCCTGCCGACCCATCAAACCATATATGAGGCAAGTCATCAGAAAAATAATGTTAATATAAAATATGAATTTAGTTTTTGAGAGTTCATGAAGTTATGTGGCATATTCATGCAATCCACATAACTTTTTGTTAATATAGCATATCATACCAAGTCAAGATAACTATCTTGTCAAAATAACTTTCTGTTTCGGCGACAAACACCGACTTTACATCTTGTTCAGTCAAGATAAGAATTCTCATTTGCTGCTGCAATAGCTATCTTGACATGACGAGAAGACTTATCTTGCACCATGAATTGTTATCAAAAATATGATTGCTTATCTTGACTGGACAAGACATAAATTTTGCGTATGTCGACAAACACAAAAGTTATAATGACTTGACGAGATATTTATTTTGATTTGACATAATATGTAATGTTAACAAAAAGCCACTATATGAAGTACATGAACTATTGACGCTTCACACCTGCATATTTATCAAGAAGCGCCATCAACCCTCAGACGGGTATATAAACACCCAATTTATTTAATGGTCACCCTCTGTTTGAAAAATGAGTGAAAACGGCAGCGTGTAAGAATACCTAAATAAATTTACAACAATTATTTAAAAACTCAAAAATTATAGTTATCAATGTTTGTCTGAAATTCAAACAGATAATGAAACTTGAATCCATTGCTTTATACCCACAAAACAAATTTACATTAAGATGCACTTTACAAAAACAGCCAAAGTCTGAGAAAAGCAAAGGATTGCAAAAGCATAAAAACAGTTTTATATGCCATTTGCGTAAATATTGGTGGTTTTCTTGTTACTTTTTTGTTCGGGGAGAAAGTTCAATTTCTGAAGAAATCTAGAAAACAAATATTTGCCAAAAAATCCAAAGAGTTATGAGAGGATGGAACCAGAATCAGGAATCAATTACATTAAATTTCTTCATGACAATGTCAAAACCCACACGCTATGAAGAGTAAAAGAGTTTTGGGGATAAGCAGATATTTTCTGTCAACTAACAATATTCGTTAAATATTTCACCCTTTGACTTGTTTTATTTTCCAAACTTGACGAAAAAAACATTTTTCAGAAAGAAAAACCAAGTCCAGGAAATCATAGAATTTGCCATATTCTAGTATACGAAGGGCCATACTCAAAATTGCGTTCTAAAAACAATCAGAAATTGGATAAAAATGTTACAGACATGTGTTTTAATTGATCGAGAATATTCAAGTGAAATCATTAAGACTAAATCATTGAAAGGCGTTTTTGTTTCTTTGATTTCGAGCACAGAGAATATTATTCATTAAACAGCCCTCGTAGTTTTATAGTACAGGGGAAGTAATAGGGTTACATAAATAAACGTCAGTATAGGATAACAGGCACTAACTTCAGCAATGCTAGGATGAGCATGGGCAAGCAAAGGATGAAATTAGCATTGAACTACTTCGCATAGACCCACTAGCATGAGAAAATCAATGAAGTTTTATTCAGTTAAATAATTGGAAAAAGAGAACGAAAATTTGTTAAACTATAAACACATCATGAAATTTTACGATCCAATGATAAAATAAGACACTTTTAATGCTTTAAGGACATCCGCAACGTAGTTAGAACTATGTAGTTAGAATTTTATCGTCTTTTTTATGAAGATCGAGTTGCAATACTTAAAAGAACTGTGCGGCTACATTTTAATTTTACTATATATATATATGTATATATATATACACACAAATGTACTTTTGTACACTTCATCTACAAGTTTTGATAAACATAAGATCTTGAATATGCGTTTAGTAATTTTTGTTTATTTTTCTTTGAATTATCAAAGAATTTTCATCAGTTTATATCTCTGCTTATGCCTGCTAAAAACCTCTGCTTATGCATGTTGAATTTTGTCTATGAACATCTGATAGTGCTTTAATCTTAAATTTAAATCTTGAAAAAATATCAGTAGGTAAGGTACTTGCACATGTCCTTAAACGGCAATTGTTTTCTACAGAAACTGTTCTATAATATAATGTTTTGTTGTTACTAAGTTTTCATTTTGCGTGCCTGCATCGTTTTAAATTCAATGCAAACTGCTAGAATTTCTTTCTTTATTTCTGCGTTTCTAAGCATCTGAAAATTTTATCTTATGAGTAATAAATCCATAAATGTTGTAATACAGCATATAATAAATAGCTAATTATGTACAATGTAACTAGCTATCATTGTTGAAAAAAGCGAGAGAGAGAGAGAGCGAGAGAGAGAGAGAGAGAGAGAGATGAACATACACAAACATAGCTGCAAAACTGTAGCGTTATGGTTTCGTATACTTATAGTAATAGTCTTCAACCAGAGATTCTGTAATGTAAAAATTGGCTTTTAACGGCGAAAGATTTTCTGCGCACTGTTTGGGAGAAGTTCTCCACTTTTCAACTTTGGTAAATAATTTACCTTCACCCCCTAATTTCAGGCACATTCTTAAACCAATTTGATTTTTTTATCCTCTTCTGGACCCTTGTCGCCTCTACAGGCAATAAACTGGCTTGAATTGTCTGAGGGACGGTAGAAAATTCTAATTCAAGCGACTTTATCTCTTGTAGAGACAATTTTAAACTTGAAGGTTGGAAGGTGTTTTGAATATACAAAAAAATAAAAAATGTGTGTAGAATTATAGAGGGAAAGGTAGATGCTTTACCAAAGTTGAAAAGTGGAGAAATTCTCCCAAACAGTGCGCAAAGAATCTTGCGCCGTAAATTGCACATGTTTTGCATTACAAGATCTGTTACATAGCATTATGGTCAAATACTAACATATAAAACCATAACGCTACAGTTCTGCGGCTAATACAAAAAACAATAACAAAACCTTTGCATAACATATGTAACATATCATTTACTTGTTAAAAAATTGTATCCAGAATATTCCAGCATTATAAATCAAAGTACGATTTTAGTCACTCTCTTGTACAACTTACATTATATCGTATTCAGCTATTTTTCACAAATATAGTAAAACGTTTTACTGCATGAATAGTCATGCCAGTATCCATATTCAACCATTGTTACGCAATTTTCATTTATTTCGTTTGTATCATCGTCTGGCTGATCATAATCCCAGTTTGTGTACGTCATTTTCTTGGAAGAGTGTTCCCAGTGAAACGTGCCTTCCGAGTTTAAATCAGTACCCCCGATCCACTAAATATCCCCAGGGGCTGAAATTAAAAATGTTAAGGTACAATCCTGTTGAACTTTCACCGTAGCTGAGCTTAAATGTTGTAAAAAAAATAACGCAAACTCTACCTTTGACTTGAATCCATGTTTTCCATATTTTCTCAACTTTAGTTTCTATTGCCAGAAGATTTGCTCCCATCGAAATGCAGCTTTCCTAAAAAAAAAAGAGAAAATAAAAGTATTCTAGTTTACTAGACTCCAGCGATGGAAATGCAAAGAGTCTGCTAAAGTTTGTTACTAAGCGCAACTCGGCCGATTCGTTCCTGAACTAATAATTCACCACACCTTGGAAGACTTGTACCTCATCTGCTAAAGGGGACGGAATCGGTAATGTTTTTTCTGATTCTACAAGTTAAAGTAGTTAGAAAAGACTTTAATTGCAGTTAATGGGTACGTTAGGTGTGCACTGTCTTGGTTAGCTGCAATAATGTAGCCCTCTCCGATTTTTTTTATCTGATATTTTCTGGAGAGGGCTACAATTCCATCGCATCTCCGTAATGGTGCAAATATATTTTTTTGATACGGGTGATTGGAGGCAAAATAAATTATTTTTACGACGGAATTTTTATTCACTGTCAACAACATAGCCTGTTAAACTCGAAAACCATGCAAAATAAATCTGTGTCTTTCCCAGCTGCAATATTCAGCAGCCATGACAGTTCACGCGTGACGTAGTGAGACTTTCACTTGAAATTTGGAACAACAAGTTAAAGTAGTTAGAAAAGACTTAAATTGCAGTTAATGGGTACATTGGGTGTGCACTGTCTTGGCAAAAATACCGGTATTGTCGGAAATAAAAACAAAAGTAGCTTAATCAAACGGCATACAAGACATTTCGTCATTCATTAATGTTTTATTTCATTGAAACTGTACATCATCGATGTCATCATCATACTAATATATAAATTCGAGTTGAAACCCAGAGGAAGTGTTCTCGTCTTCATATATAGAATTCGGACTTTTTAAATAAATTCTGTTTCATATGAATGCAGAAAAAGTCTGGTAATAACAAGGTACAATCAATACACATAGAAATTGCAAAAGACTGTTGAAAGACCTACCTGGTCTTCAAAAACTACATATCGTAGATATTTTATATAAGAAACTCAAGCGTCTTTTTATTATGAAATCCAGAGGAATAGTAATGGCATCGGAATGATTTTAACAAAATAATTGGGAATGAATTATGATAAGGTAGGCAGTACGAGTCCATTTTTATATCGGACAAAATAGCTGTCTATGATTAAAGAAAACCCATGGATTTTGAGTTTTTAGTATCCATAATTTAATCAACACCACCTCTCGAGTATGCAATTGCACGATACCTCTTAGGTTTCTCCTTTAAAAAAGTGCTGTAAAATGAACAAGTCACCGCGTGGTGCAGTGGCTAGAGCGTAAGAAGTTAAATCCCATTGTGGGAAGTAAAGACCGGTGCTTCGGATGAGACCGTATAAAGCAAAGTTCCATGTCGCAGTAGGTGCTGGCACAAAAATGATCCCTCAATGCTCAACGGCCCTGAGTGCCGAGTTTAGGAAAAGATTTGCAGCTGTCCACCAGCATGTGGTGGCGTCTCCGTATGAGCGGAAATCCTCGCGGAGGACGTTAAACAACATACAATCAATCAATCAATCAAAATGAACTTTAGGTAACGTCCTCTGCGTGTTATTCACAATATTACCATTACTATTGACAAGAATCTTAACTCTTAAGATCTATGTAGACACCCGAAGTCCTATTTGATGAGACTAAAAAGTATTCCTTAACGTAATACATTTAAAATGTTTCTTTTATTTTATGTTCATTTTCCTTTAAATTTCACTGTAGATGTAATTGATCTTGATTTAGCTATTTGCAAAAGCATGTTTTGCACGTACATGTATTGATAATTTTCCGTTTGATTTTTCGCCTTGAGTTCATTTATTTAATTTTTTCACTTCGGAAACGATCTTCTTTCATAGAATAAAAATGAGATATACATGTACCGGATACATTCCAGTTACTAGCAAAAAGTTCGAGGACTAGCCTCATAAACTTTAAAATGCCTACATCTATAAAGATTTTTACTCAACTCCAGAAAATCTAAAGATGTGTACTGAAGCAGAGGGAGGTAGCTGGCATTAAGCGTTATGACTTTTTCGGACGTCATGAAACTAAACGACGGCACATCGCAAGGTTTGTCAATTATCAGTGTAACAGACTGAAATTTTCAATACTTCTTGAACTTTTGTCGTTTCATATTCCTTATAAATATTGTAATCAACTACTGCATAGAATTGAATGTATAGCATCATTCTAAGAACTTTTTGATAAGCCAGCGTACATATACTTCTTTAAAAAGTGTGTATATTCATCAAAACTACATGGGTTTGATCAAAGACAAAAGCTACGGCAAATCCCGCTTATAACTACTTGCTAGGAAGCAACGATTCTGTTTTGATAATAAAAGTAAGTTTTATCTTTCAGAATTACAATACAATTTTAAGCGTCAACTAAATTTAAGTGTCGTTGCCATAAACGTATTTTACTGTTATGCCTTGGCTTCCGTTTTTAATGTTGTTCAAGCCCTACAATGTATTTACTTCCAATGGTATCACCTTTGATACCTCTTTACAAAAAAGATAAAAAGATAGCACGTGGAATCTTTTAACTAAAGTGTCTACCTTTGAAAAACTCCATTGAAATCTTTTTTACACAAAGCAATAACTATTCTCTCTGTTCCTTATCTACGATGCAGGACAGTCTACGATATGAAAATCACAACCAATTGAAAATTAAAAATTGTAAAATAATAATTATACTTGGTAGGTTTTTTTTTTTTAATTTGCACTTTCCACTAAACTTGAAAGTGTTGGCCAGTCATATCACATATAGAAAAATATTGAAACCAAAACAAATATTTTTTTAGAATATACACGGAATATTTTTCACAGACTTTGAGGGTTCCCAAAAAGCTGATGCATATTGATATTTTACATTCAAAGGGTTGAACTGCAATAAATATGAAGAGTGTTTCTTCAATGCTTTCCATTCAAAATCAAAGTAACTTAATGTGTTAATAGTAAAGTAAACAAAGCTTTGCCTCGCTTAAGACTCTCTGTTTGTTTTTTTTTTAATTTCAAAATTTTCTTTTTCATTTTTGTATTGCTGTCCTCTTCTTTCGAGACTATAGTAAAATGTCATCAAACATCGGAAAGTATACAAGAAATAACTAAATATAGAGCAAGTCTCAGCAAAGCTCTAGTTGATTTGATACGCAATTGCATGCTCTACGTATGAACAAATTCTAAAACCAGGCAAGCTATTGACAAATTTGTTGATGGGTTAAAGGTATCAACAAATTCGTCATTTTTGATCCTTTCGGTCGATACAATGACCTTGTCAGCGAAAACAATCTATAGCTGAATCAATATTGAGATTGACGTTTTTCATACAAATCTAAGGCAATAACTTACATATTGGATTGTCTACAGATTTTCCCGTTTTCCAAACCATTAAAATGAGCACATGGCGGGTGTGACCAGTCAGCAGTGGATGTCCACTCCAATATTGATTCCACCAAAGATATGCCTAGAAGGTAGTATTTGCGCTGGTCCCGATATGTAACTACATGTAGAATACTGTTCTTTATCTCCATATTTCATTAATACTTCATTTATCTTTTGAAACAATGTGTACGATACCAAAACCAAACACGTTAAGAAAATATTTTTTCCCAAAAGAATATCGATTTCTTTTGCAGAAATATGATAGGTATTATCAAAGATGAAATAACCCTAAAACAGGGATTACTAGTTGTATTATTGTGTCAAACAACATAATAACAATAGTACTGAGTGATTACTATTTTCTTTGGCTGAATGGGCCACGGCCGCTTCAATGCAGGAGCCGAGGCATCAATATACTGCCTTTTGTAATGGCATCCTGAGAAAATGTGAACCCTGGGCACAGATGTCCACTGACTAGTCCATACTTAAAAAATTTGTTAAAATGTTGAAAAAGAGTTCAATGAGCCTACTGGTAAGCCCAATATACGCATGCCTGGCATGAACTGCTGGTATGTAAGGATGCTACAATCAGGCGGCCGTGACGAGGGGACCCTTGTAATGATGCAGATGGGCTTGAAAATATAATCTGAAACGATAAAAAATACTCGGCAGAAAAAAGGAAAGATAAATACTGTGAACAAATCTTCGGAGAAAACCACACAAATGTGAACTATGTAGGCCAATTTATGAATATTAAACTTAAGGTGTTTCCACCCTCACAATTTTAATGGTTCAAGGTACAAAAACTGGATTTATTTTCATTTAATATACTTCAAATTTTCAAATTATTGCAAATATCGTATAGGTCACCATATTATTTAAGATGCGAAACATAATAAACAGAAGTGTATCTAAGCACTAAAAAAAAAATCGCAAATTTTTTGTAAACAGTATTATGAAAAGTATGTAAAAACTGGTTTTAAATGCATAATTCTGATGCTGAATGTTCCTAAATACTAGACTAACTAAGTACTTCCTACTTATAAAATACTTTTGAATTGTGAATATCACGGAAAATATTTTACATTAGAAGTACAATAAAGCAAATGCCTGAAAGAAGAGACCTCAGAATAGAAGGAATTATTGCCCTTGTCAACCTTTTTAAAGATTGAATAATTGATGATTAAATAACGAAAATATGCGTTTTTAAATTCTTTTACTTGACAATATTTATCATTGCACCGTTTGTAAAGCATTCTTCCAAAAGATATTGTTGTATTAGGTGTAAATTTGAATTAATTACAGTTTTTGCAAAAACCAAAGGATGGTGGAATTACCTTAACACACAATTCTAGAAATCCTAGTCGACCTTTGTTTGATAAGGGTGAGAGGGTGGGTAAAAGTTTCAGCACAGACTGATGACGAATAAGTGCCGTGACGTCAGAGTTCCCTTGCCAGGTGCTACTAATATCCCCAAACTATAAATGGAACTGATAAATACCGTACAAATTGCACAAAGAACCCTGTTTTGATAATAAAAGACCAAAAATATTTATTTCAGATAAATAGATTTAACCTTTAGTGGTTAAATCTCGCAAAGATGAAATAACCCTGCTAGTTGTATTTTGTGTCAAACAACATAATAACAATAGTACTGAGTGATTAATTTAATGGGCCACGGCCGCTTCAATGCGAGGCATCAAATACTGCCTTTTGTAATGGCATCCTGAGAAAATGCTGAACCCTTGATGTCCACTGACTAGTCCATACTTAAAAAATTTGTTAAAATGTTGAAAAAGAGTTCAATGAGCCTACTGGTAAGCCCAATATTGTGCCGCAACACCAATAGGTATGACAAAATAGCAATTATGATTTATATGAACATGTCACAAGAACCATAATAGCAAATATATGTCAATAAATGCAAGCAGTATTGTCTTAGCAATAAGCAACAATTCTTCAATGAGGGCAAAAACCTTACCCAAAATATGTCAATAAATTATTGCCTTAGCAATAAGATGACAATGCAAAAATAATGGACTAGTCACAATGCGCAGCCATATTAAATACATATGGCTTATCCATAACTAGTCATAGCGCAGCCATGGCCCAAAGTATGACAAAAATGCAAATTATGATTTATATGAGCATTTCACTAGAACCATAATAGCAAATTTATATTTGTCAGTAAATGCAAATAGTATTGCCTTAGCAATAAGCAACAATTCTCTCAAAAACATTCCTTATCCATAAAAGCAAGCAGTACTATTGCTTTAGCAATAAGCGATGATAATGCAAAAACAAATGTGCAGCCATATTAAATACTCAGTATTTATATACGTTGTTGAAGATATGACCCCTTAACTAGTCATAGCGCAACCATTTATAATCCATAATAATTTGTTTGCAAGAAGATCCTGTAAAAATGGTTAAAATTTTACAGGTTTTTTTGTTATCCATTCCAAGTCGAGATAACTAACACCATGTCACTTGACAAGGTATGGAAGTTGCAAACCTAGATAACGGCGTACAAGATGACATATTAAAAGTTTCAGCACAGACTGATGACGAATAAGTGCCGTGACGTCAGAGTTCCCTTGCTAGGTGCTACTAATATCCCCAAACTATAAATGGAACTGATAAATACCGTACAAATTGCACAAAGAACCCGATGCATTTTCGACCAAGCCAGACCAAAAATATTTATTTCACTTCGATAAATAGATTTAACCTTTAGTGGTTAAATCTCATTAATGCAGAAATATAAATTTGAGAGGATCTTTTTTTTTTAAAAAAAAATTTACGTTGCGGGTTAAATTTAATCCAACTGTGGGACGTGGAGACTGGTACCCCGAATGAGACCGTATAAACCATGATCCCGTGTCGCAATAGGTGCTGACACGATAAAGATCCCTCACTGCTCAATGGCCCCGAGTGCCGAGCATATGACAAAATTTGTAGCTCTCTACCGGCAAGTGATGGCGTCTTTAAATGAGTGAAAAATTCTCGAGAGGGACTTTAATCAACTTACATACAATCATTAATTTTTTTTAGAAACATTCCACTGAATTACTGTCTTTTGAAAACCTGTAGTAAAACGTATGTTTTAAAACATCTTAAAAATCCTTACCGTTATTTTTAACAAAGTACAAACAATTTCTGTTGGTGGGACAACTAGGGTTTGTCCTCGCCGAATTGTCCAAAAGGAGGCATGTTTGCTGTGAGTAGCTATACAAAAAGGCAACACAAGAAACCATCCCACTACAGTAAACACCGCATGATAGTTCATTCCCCAGTTGCGATGTATTGAACGCAATTTTATAAGTTATGTTACTCCCATCAATGTTCTGTTTGGTGTATTTCTGTCCAATCATTAAAGAATCAAATATATCAACGATAATCAGCGAATAAAATGCAAATGCTTTTAATAGAAAACCCATATTTTCCAAGGTTTGCTTAGCTGTTGGAACCATTTTCTTTAGGATCTGTGTATGGCTTTGCAAAATATATTTTAGATATCTCCCTATGCTTGGAAGAATATTGATGTCAAAACCACACAAGAGATTTTAAAAATATTATAATTTATGCAATAAAAGCTCTATATTTTAAATATTCATGTGAATTTAATCCATGTGTCCATTTAAACATCACTAGAGAAAAAGACAACAACAGAAGACATTTTTGAAAATTGTAATAAATTGTGCGCTGAATTGACTTTCTAGATATTTAGCCTTTAGCATAATTTTTATCCCAGATTCAGTCTTGTGTTCCGCCATATTTCAAATTTAAGTCCAACCTTGTAATTTTTAAAATTTATTTATTTGTCCACACTTTTTTTTTAATTAGAGTTCCTTGATATCGAACACAATAAACAAAACCATCCTTCTTCTTCATCTTCTTCCTATATAGTCGAAAAGGTGAAAATGAAAATATCGATTGATCTAAAAACAATGTAAATCTCTACAGAGAGCATGAAACATGGCCCACTAGAAATTCCAGAGGTGGGATCAGGTGCATAAGAGGAGTGAACGATCCTTCACATATAGCGATAGATCCTTAATTGGCGATCAAACTTCATACATGTTATTAATTACGTTAAAGATTATGCAATACAATGGACCAAAGAGCTTGACACTTTGTAAAAATTTATCAAAATAAAAAGATGAATGTTAAGATACCGTGTTGAGTTGGTAAGGGAAGAAATCAATCTATCCTTCTCTCTTAAATAATTTCGAGATGAATTAA